GGCCGGCTGGCCGGGTCCCGGGAAGACAGCACTGAGTCGACGAGGGGCGCCTCCAGCCCCACGGAGCAAACTGCCAAAGCCATTTCAGGGGGGCGGGCTCCCCAACACGCCAGGAAATGGCATCCAGACGCCGCACAGGGCAGGCAGAGCCCAGCAGGGAATTGCAGGGCCAGGACAGGTGGACAGTGGAGGCTGAGCCGCAACCCTAGCACTGCCCGCACCCATGGGAGCCCCTCTTGGCCACTTGCCCTGCTCTGCCCCTTCGGGCTGAGCCACACAGCGCCTGCCCTCCCTGGCCAAAGCCCCAGCAACGCTGGTGTGCAGCGCTCAGCGCCCAGCCTGGGTGACTCAAGCTGACAGTGAGCCTAGCCACACTGGCCTGGCTGCCGGAGCCTCCGCCCAGGTGCCTGCGGGATGCGTCCGGGCTCCCCGAGCACCCAGCCTGGCCCAAGGCGCTGTCCCCGCCTGCCCAGCGCTGCCGGCAGCATCGGCCCAGCACGCCACAGAGCGCACCAGTCTGGCCAGTGAGGGGAGCCCGCATCTCCCGTAGTCCAGCCTGGGAGTGCCGAGTTCCCGGGCTTCAGTCCTTGGTTCCCGGCCCCTCCCTGCCTGCCGGGGGGACGGCTGGCTCGTCCTGGGGAGGGGTCTGCCAACTACTCGGCTTCTCTTATACCCCTAATGCCAACAGCTCTGTCCACTCCAAAACCAGCCTGCCGCGGGGCCGAGCGCTCTCAGAGCCTTGGTGGGAGCACCTGGCCTGGCAACCCACCTGACAGGAAGCCAGGAGGCAGGGCCAGGGATATAAAAGGCCAGCCAGGCCCCAGCCACCAAGGAAGCCAGAAGTCTCCCCTGCATCCCCAAGCGAGGAGCTGGACTCTGGGGAAGCCGAGGGCTGGCCGGGGCCACAGGGCCCACACTGGAGGACCGGCCGGAGGCTCTGGGACAACGGTGCCCAGAGGACTGCACTGGACCCAGGTACAGCCGGAGGGGGTAATGGAAGCAGCCCAGGGACAGTTGGCCCCATTGGCAGGTCAGCGTGTTGCAGTACGGGTCCCCCAACCCAGCAGCCGACTGCTCTGCTGCTGCTAGGGCCCTGGGCCGGGACACAGTGCAGCGAGTGGGCTTGCGTCCCCCCCTGCACCCCGCTCTTGGGTGGGGATCTTCCCTCTGGCTGTTCCCGTACCGCAGGATCTCCCCGCCAGCCCCCCACCTGAGCAGCAGGCCCTGAACTATTTGCGTGCGTTTCCCTGCCGCCCACCCCAATCCAGGGTCTGGGCACTGAACTGTCCAGTTGCCTGTTACCCTCCCAGAGCTAGGGCCTTCGGGGTTCACTGTCGCCCTGCTCCAGGACTTTTATCATCGCCTGTGTCTCGGTGCAGGGGGACGGAGTGGCCGCCACTGAGCCCCTCCTGAGCCTGGCAGGGCTGCACAGGCCTCCTAGTGGACCCCTTGTCATAACGAACTCCCACCCTAACAGAGATGGGGCATTAGTCCTTGCTGAGACCTACACAACAAAGCACACATGGTGGCTAGGCTCAGCTGGGGGCCACAACCAACCTGTCCAAGAGCAGACCCTGCTCCCTCCTGACCTCCTGTACCCAGTCTGCCTACTTACGTCCCAGCTGGGACCTTGCAGGGAGAGGGAGAGGGAGAGGCAGAGGGAGGAGACAAGGAGCGGCTGGTCACACTACGGAGACGCTACTTTCACCATCACGTAGGTCCGCTTTTAGCCCGAGCGAGTCACCGGGTACTCAAAGCACCTCTCTGCTCCGTGCTTTCCTGGAGCTGCCCACCACGCAGCACCAGCGGCCTGGTGCCCACAATGCCCGGTGCGGCCCAGGCAATAACAGGATGGGCTGTGGTTTCAAAGTGCAGGGTTACAGAGTGCACACGTGCGTGGCCACACGCGCTTCCGTAGGTGTACACCAAGCTCCTTACCTTGTGACGAGAACTCAGACTGGGAAGCAAAGCGGGAAAGCTCCGAGTCTGAAAGCATCGCAGCATCGTCTGGCTTATCACACACACTCAAGCTTTTCACAACTAAGTCTAAGTGATGCGCCCAGTCCTGGCCTGGCAGGTCTCCCTCAGGCCCCGGGGAAGGGCGGGGAGATCTGCGCTCCAGGCACTCCTTTCCCCTTCGGGAAATGTCACTAGAATTCAGGCCCCCCAGGCTGGCCCTGGAGCACTCTTCTTCCCTAGGTCTATTGGCGTGCCGACTGGTTCGAGCACTCCTTTGGTTGAACCGCTGCCAGCGCTTCTTGGGTGCTACGTGGGTCACCCCGTTAGACTCCTCCCCCAGGGAGCTTTCGCTATTCACTTCGGAATCCAAGTCTAGGCCCTCACCATTTTCAACAGACGTGCAACTCTCAGTATTTTTATCAGGTTCAGGCCTCTCCCTGAGAGGGTCTAAATTATCATCCGACGAACACGCAGAGTCTTCATCAGTGGAGTGTGCCAGCAGCTCGGGAGCTTTCCTTGCCGTTTCTTCTATTCCATCGCCAGCCCGACTGGCCCCCGTGCCCTGCGTATCCCCACGCAGACTTCCAGAGACCTGACTGGGTGGCTTCCTCAGCGCTGCTAGCTTGAAATCCTTCCTGACCAACACGGCATTATTTACTAGCTTGGAGGGCTGCTTAGATTTTGAACAGTGGTGTCTGGAGATGCAATTTGCGCCATTCGCACCAGCAAGAGCAGCGTCCGTGGGCTCCCTTTTCTTACCACTCTGCCCATTTCTCTTGGCCGTAGCACCATGCGAAAGGGAGGGTTCACGGGCATCGGGGGGCTGACGTGTTGCTTCCACAACGCAATCCCCATTTGTTTCTAGTTTATAAGGGGGCCCTTTTGCAGCCAAATTCTTCAAGCCACTTGCCGAGTTGCTCCCAGAGGAGCTGCCCATGCCAGCATTCCTCCCCGGGGCCATGTTCTGAGCCGACAGCAGCTGCTGCTCTTTTGTCTTACTGTCATGCATGTCCTTCAGCATCATCAGCAAGGTGCTGAACTTGTAGTCCGGCTCAATGGGCAAACGGCTCTGCCCAGAGGCCGAAGAGAAGAGTAAAGGGGCTGTGGTCTTTGGGGCCCCATAGTCACTCGCTTCGTCCCCCATGGACCTACAGGACAGCTCCTTGAGCTCCGACAGGACGTGCTTCACCACAGCAGTCTCCAGCTCAGCAGAGTCCCGGGCTCTGTCGCGCACACTGTTTAGCGGCTCCTGGCTATGGGCTCTGCCACTTTTGGCAGGGTCAGAAGAGCAGCAATTCACAGCACGTATCTCTTCCAGCAGAGGGGGGCCGAGCCCAGCCGCACTCTCCTTGGGCTTGCTTCGGATACTTTTCAGCCGGGGCATTTGGAGGTTCTTCAGGTGTAGATCCAGCTCGTTTGTAACCCCAAGGTGGGAGCCTTCCTGGGCCCCAAGCTGGGGCGGAGAGTGCGTCTCTGCAAGGGAAAGGTGGGCATTCCTCACCACCGAAGAACACTCTAGAGCGATAACGGGCATCTCCGTGTCCGAGGCTGCTCCTTGGAGCTCCCCATCCACCGAGTCGGCATCAATTCTAGGGCCTCCAGGAGGTCTGTGATCTCTCGATGACCTTTTCCTGCTGTTCCATGGCTCGCTCTCAGAACACCTGCTGTCTCCCCACAGCCCTGGAGAGGACTCATCTTCTTCCTTATCTGCAGGGTCACTCATCTCCAGGGCACTGCAGGCTGCCTCAGAACTTTGGTCCTCGAGATCTAGGTCGCTAGTCCCATCATCTGAGAAGGAAGTCAGCGAATCGGATTCATCTTGCTTTTTCTCCATAGCCGTGTCCGCTGCGGAGTAGTGTACCTGTAACTTGGAACAGCAAAGAATGCCCCCGGGGCTTGTGTGCGTCTCTGGAGAGCTGCTGGAAAGCAAATCCACTGTCAGCGTGTCCTGTAGGGAGTCGCCGCGAGGCACCTCCCGCTCCTGTTTCAAAGCTGTCTTTTCAAAACGTCTTTCCCCAAAGGAAGAGAGCAGGTAGTTTTCCACAGCCCCATTGGCGGCTGTAAGGCTGTTTGCTATCCGGCACAGCTCATGGGATGCATGCTTATCGGGCAGGTCCCCCGCAATCATGCGTCTAGCTATGTTCTCTGGCACCTGCTCTCCAGCCTCTCTCCTAGATGCTTCCAGTCTGGAGCTGCTCTTTTTTACTCTCGTCCTTTTCCTGCTCTCCGAGCTCTTTTTCACAGGAAATGCGGGGCAGGCCCTGCCCTTCTCACTGCCTGAGTGTTTGGAGCCCAACGCCAATGCTTTCAAACAGCCATTCAGCTGCCTGGCCGGCTCCATTACCGGCCCATTAGTGACGGGCTCCAAGAGCACATCCTCACTGCTCAGCTTGCTGGAATTCGGACTGCCCTTCGGTTCCTCAGTCCCCTTGAGAAGGAATTCTTCTGCGTGGCCAACACTGAGCTCCCACTTCGCCATAAAGCGCTGAGGAACCTAGATGTGGGAGAGAAAACGAAGATTACTATCAACTAGACATTCAGCAGAACCATACAGCACAATGCCACGTACCCAGCCCTGGGGTCTGCAAATACACTGGAACCTCATGGACAGCGCGTCCACGGAGCACAGACGCCCAGCGCACCGCGCCGGCACCTCCCGGCCCACGGCTCCCGGACAGCGCGTCCACGGAGCACAGACGCCCAGCGCTCCAAGCGCACCGCGCTCCCAGCTGCACAGCTGCTTGGATGACACTGCTTCCTGCGTGCTTTCCTAGCGCTCCTGCAGCTGCTGTAAGACCAGCCATCCGGCACTCTGCAACGCGTGTCCTCCCAACACTCCCAGGCCTGAATCGCGTCCAGTAACCTCCTGCCAGGAAAGGGGGTGCAATTCCCTCCCAACCCATGAATGCTGACAAAAGGGCCCCAGGCACAGTGGCCTCTCTCAGGCACTGAATACGTTGGCCTCCCAGCAGGCACCTAATGCAGCAACTGTGATTGCAGCCAGCACCACCCCCTGCATGACCGGACTGAGCGCCCCCCCCACTGGGGCAGAGAGGCCTCAGCACCGCTCTGTCTACAGCACTGAGTGCAGAAAGCACCGGACGCTCTACCGTGACCCTGCTTGCCTCCCTCTATTCGCAATAGCTCAACTAGTTCCCCCCACGGCCTCCCCTCTTTCCACCCTCCCCGGTATCCCCACCGCCTCCCCCCTCCCCCGTATCCCCCTGCTCTCCCCCCCCC